AATGCAGGGATGGTTCAACACTCACAAGTCTATAAATGCAACAAACCACATAAGTGGACTTAAATGTAAAAATCACATGATCAATTCAATAAATATAGAAAAGGCCCTGGAAAAATTCAAAACACCTTCATGATAAAAATCCTAGAGACTGTGGGGCAAGAGAGCACATACTTCAACATAATAATACCTATATATGAGAGACCCATAGCCAAATTCATCCTAAATGAAGAAAAGCTTGAAGCAACCCCACTGAACTCAGAAATGAGTCGGGGTGTACACTATCCCCACTCCTTCTCAACTAACACAAGCACTAACTCAAGCAATAAGACAAGAGAAGGAAATTAAAGGGACTTAAGTAGGGAAATTATAAGTCAAACTATTTCTATTTACAGAAAACATTATACTATACATTACAGAGTTCAAAAATTCTACCAGAAACCTTCTAGAAATAATAAACAAATTTAGCAATGTGTCAGAATATGGAATAAATTTGTAGATATTGATAATAGCTTTCAATATAGCAGGAACAAGCATACAGAGGAAGAGACCATAAACACACTCCCATTCACAATAGCCCTCCCCAAAATAAAATATTTAAGAATAAGCCTAACCAAGGACATGAAGAACTCCTTCACCGAAAGAGAAAGAAGAAGACATAAGAAAAAGGCACCTCAGGCTTATGGACTGATAGAATTAAAACTGTAAAAATGACCATTTTACCAAAAGTCATTTATAGATTAAATACAATTCCAATCAAAATTCCTATCTTATTCATCACAGAAATAGAAAAGGATATCCTAAAATTCACATGGAACCACAAAAGACCCCCAGAGAACCAAACAATCCTGAACAAAAAGAACAATGCTGGAAGAATTACCATTACAGATCTTAAGATACATTACTGAGACATTATAATCAAAACAATATGGTACTGGAACCAAATCAGCCATGAAACCAATGGAACAAAATCAAAGAGCCAAGCATGAATACATGTTAACTACAGCCATCTAATACTTGACAAATATGCCAAAAACATATGCTGGAGACAATATCTTAAAAACTTGTGCTGGGAAAATGGGATGTCCAGATGCAGAAGAATGAAATTAGACCCGTGTCTATCACCCAGTACAAAAACTAACTCAAAATCGATCAAAATCCTAGACATGAAACCTGAAAGACTGGAACTGCCAGAAGAAAACATAGGCAGTATCCTACACGATGTAAGTGTAGGAAAGGACTTCCTGAATAAGACTCCATTTCCCCCAAGAACTGAGGCCACAATTGACAAGTGGGACTTTATAAAACTAAAAAGGTTCTGCACAGCTAAAGAAACAACCCAGTGAAGAGGAAGCTCACATAATGGGAGAGACTATTTGTCAGCTACGCCTATGACAGAAGATTAACATCCAGAATATATGACAAACTCAAAAAGCAAAGAACATTCAAAAAAGAGAGTTCAAAAGAAGGGAAGTATGGCTGAGAAATATCTAAAAAGAGAGAGAGGGGTTTGTAGCTAGAGTTTTCCTGCCTGGCCCACAGTCAGGACAAATCTCTCTCAGCCGCCAGTCCCACAGCCGCTCAAACCCGACCAAGTAAATACAGAGACTTATATTGGTTACAAACTGTATGGCCGTGGCAGGCTTCTTGCTAACTGTTCTTACAGCTTAAATTAATCCATTTCTATTAATCTATACCTTGCCACATGGCTTGTGGCTTACCGGCATCTTCACATGCGGCTTGTCATCATGGCGGCTGGCAGTGTCACCCTGACTCAGCCTTCCACTTCCCAGCTTTATTCTCCTCCTTGTCCCACCTACACTTCCTGCCTAGCCAATGACCAATCAGTGTTTTATTTTTTGACCAAACAGCAACACATTTGCCATACAGAACATCCCACAGCAGGGGTTCGTAGTACCTAGCAATTAGGGAAATGAAAATCAAAACAGCTCTGAGATTTCATCTCATCCCAGTCAGAAGGGCAAAGAGTAACAAAACCACCACCACTAAAGGCTGGAGGGGATGTGGGGGGGACTGCAAACCAGGGCAGCCACTATGGAAATAGGTGTGGAGGATCCTCAAAAAGCTAAAAATGAATCCACCGTTTGATCCGTTTGTCCCAACCCTTGGCATATGCCCAAAGGACTCAGTATCCCACTCCATAGGTACTTGCTCAGCCATGTTCATTGCTGCTCTAGTCACAAGAGCTAGGAAATGGAAACAACCAAAATGTCCTTCAACTGACAAATGGATAACAAAAACACAGTACATATACACTATGGAATTCCATTCAGCTGTAAAAAAAAACAAATGATGACATTTGAAGGTAAATGGGTAGAACTAGAAAAGATCATCTTGAGTGAGGTAATTGAGATCCAGAAAGACAAATACATGTTCTTGCTCATCTGAGGCTCCTAGCTCTAAATCTTCAGATGTTGACTATCTACATCCTCGAGTATCTGTAGAAACTAGGAAAGCAAAATGGAAGCATTGCCTGGGTAGGGGATTGGGGGAGCAATAGAGAGCGAAATACCAGGATACAAGTGATTTAATTGTGGAAATGGGAAAGGGGAGCTCTAACAAGGTAGAGGGAAAGATAAATACAGACGAAGGGGAATGTGGGTAAAACACAGTAAGCATGTCTGGAAAATCATAAGCAATCATACTATTAACTATCTACCTTTAAAAAAAACTATAATACATGTCAGTCTGTGTAAATATGCATAGTTTAAATGAAACTACCTCATCTTGGCTGACAATACTTCCTCAAGTGCCAAAGACCACTGTACAAAAACCCAACACCAGCTGTGATAAACCTTCTTTGGAGCTGTTGGTCCGAGTTGTCCAAGAAATGCCCAAAACATTACAGGTTATCATTCTTACCTTTGGTTACCCCCTAGAAGAGGAAAGTAAGTCCCTAGAGCTGAAGACATTATGCACTTCACAATCAGGGCTCAGAGGCCTCTGAGCTGGAACTGACCTGAATGCTTCTCCTTGCGGACTAGCTTTCAGAAGGCACCATGAATGCTTCCAAAGGAGGGAGGCAATCAACACTTCAATCCAGCTGTGAATGACGCCAATGACCAGCATGACATGATAACCCTAATAATGGTGGAGTAGTGGCATGCATATCTTGGCAATAACCAAAAGCTCTCTAATTGAACTTCAAACCTGCTCTACAAGAGGGAAATCATGTCTGTACTGGAAATATCACCAATTACCAAGAGCTAGTGAAGTCAATGGATGTTGAAGGAGAACCTGCAAACCAACACTTTACTAAGTTAGCACAATCCCTAACTACATTCAAAATTTTGTCCTTATATCTACAGACAAATGTAGTATTCATCCCTCATCAAGGAAATTTCTCTTTGCAACAGACACTGACCATAACAGAGAACGACAACCCATCAAAATTCAGGGATCTGTGGAACCCAGTCCCAGTGGACACCTCTACAAAACAACTCTTGCACCCAGAGGGCATTGCATAAGAAGGGGTGGAAACACTGTAAGAACCAGAGGATCAGGGACTTTGCTATGAGACCGTGTCTTCCAGTAACATCATAAGAAACACCCGTAGAGTCTCACCTACATGACTGCCTAAACGTGAGCAGAACAAGAAGGACACAATAGGCATGCCTACATGGACAAGCAAAAGACCACAAGGCCTGAACCCTACATAAAGAACTACAGGCAACTGAGGAATATTGAGAGTAGAAAAACACAGTCTTCTCCAAGGAAGCACCAACCAACTGATTACCCAATACCAAATAGTCATCCCTGAAAACATGCATGCAATGAACATTATACAGACTGAGCAGGTTATACTTAGGAATATGTTTGAATATACATATACATATATGCATGTGGCAAAAATTAATAAAAAATAAGCCAAGAATTTTTAAAGATAGTGAGGAAGGGTACATGGGAGGGCTTGGAAGGAGGAAAAGGAAAGAAAAATTGATGTATTTATTTTATAAAATTTATTTACTTTTTTTGGCATTGGTAGTTTCCCTGCATGTACATCTATGTGAGGATATCAGATCCCCTGGAGCTAGAGTCACAGACTGTAATGAGCTGCCATATGGGTGCTGGGAATTTAACCCATGTCCTCTGGAAGAACAGCTAATGCTCCTTACCGCTTGAGTCATCTCTCCACCCCCTAGATGTATTTATATTATAATCTCAAGGGCTGGAGAGATGGCTCAGCCCTTAAAGGCTAGGCTCACAACCAATAATATAATATCAAAAATTATATATATTTATATAAAGATTGTGGGATTTTTAAAGTTACACTATGTTTTTTGCTGTAATCGTAACATGAGATATTGGAAATAAGCAGGGGAAGGTTATGGTTTAACAGCGATGTGTTTGTGTGTCAAATTGACAAGGGGGATCAATTATGCTGGTTAGTGTTTGCCAGCTTGACACAAACTAGAGTCATTTGGGATGATGGCTCCTTAAGTGAAAACATGCCTCCTCCAGATTGCCTGTAGGCAAGACTGCAGGGCATCTTCTTGATTAATGATTGATATGGGAATGTCACCTCCTTGTGAGGAGTATCACCCTGGAAGGCAGTTCTGGGTTGTAAAAAAAAAAAAAAAAATGCTGAGTGAACAATAGAAAGCAAACCAGTAAGCATTCCTCCATGGACTCACTTTCACTTTCTGCCTTCGGCACCTGCCCTGAATTCTCTCAGTGATGTAAGCTGTGCGATGAACTAACCCTTTCCTCCTCAACTTGCTTTGAGGCATGGTGTTTATTACAGCAATAGCAAGAAAACTGGGACAGACTGTAAGCCCAAATAAACCCTTCCTTCTGTAAGTCACTATGGTGTTTAATCATAGCAACAGAAAACTTACTTAATGCTTTGACCAAAAATCTTTTTAATTCACTTGGGTATCATGACTTTCGAATGCAATGGAATATGTTCCTCACACAATGCCACCTTTAAGCACAACCTGTAAGGAGCCCCTGGTATAAATCCAAGTAGGATCACGTGGTACCTGTGAAAAGAATGCAACCTTTGGGCCAGCAGGTGCTCCAGGGCCAGCACTTTCTCCAGCAGTAGGCCACGCACAGCTGTCTCCTCACGGCTGGCCGGATTGATGCGCTGTGCAGTCAAACGCCAGACATGAATCTCATGCTTCAGTTCTGTAGAGAAATAAGGGCATGGCACTGAGTCTCTCCCACCCTCAGACACCAGCGAATGCCCCTACTACTCACCATGCACCAACAATGTGCACCCATCTTCCACCTAGTACAGGCTCTTCACAACAAGAGCTATGAGGGTGGAACCAGATGATAGAGTTGAATTCTGAAGGTCATCATGGGAGCAAGAAAAGCCATTTCAACCCTGCCTGAAGAATAAAGTCCTTTCTCAAACAATACCCTTTTAATTCATTTATTAACTTATTATTGTTGTGCTTTTGTTTGGTCAATGTCTTAACTCTAGGACTCAACAACCCTAGCTCATTCTCACTGGCCCTGCATTCAGCCAAAAATCTGAACATTGCTGCTGTGGTTTTAATACAATATGCCACAGTTTCTCAGCTGTTTAGCTAAAAGCAAGTGTATCTGGCTTGTCCTCTCCAAACTATGTGCCATGCTGTGATACAGCAAAGAAGTCTTACCAGTTGTTGAAACCATGCTCATGGACTTTCTGTCTCCTGGACAGGAAGCTATTATAAATGAGCCTCTAACTTTTAGCTTGCTCAGGCTGTGGTAGTTATAGCAACACAAATGAACTCAGCCAATTGCCCAGGCTTTGAATGGTTTCAGAAACAGAGTTCTTGAATAACAGCAGAATGGGTGTGACCCTCGGGCAGCCATGCATAGCAACTCTAGAGGGTATCTGGTAAGAAAACAGGAGGGAGGGAAGCATTCCCTCTCCTATCCTCCATGAGCTCGTATGTCACACATGAGAGACAAGGAATCAGCTGGTGAAATGCTGGCCGGAAAGGAGCAAACAGCATTTCACTCATCATTGAATTCAGACACCTCCTGATAGTGAACAGGAGAGAGATGGTTTACCATCCACTGCTTTCTAAGATAGTAAGATATTTTATGAGGCTTACATTTAACCTCTATTTTATAGTGTGTGTGTGTGTGTGTGTGTGTGTGTGTGTGTGTGTGTGTGTGTGTGTGTGTGTGTGTGTATGAGGAAAAGGCCAAGATAGCAGATTAAAAAGCAAGCCAGCCTTTATCAGTGCTCAGGAGACTCAGACTGAAGTGGCTGGAGAGCAGCTTACTGGACAAGTTGGAGGTAGCTGTGGACAGCCGTTGTTCCTAAGCATGCAGCATCCCAAGAGCAAATACCTTCCAGGTGATCCTGTGGGAGAGTGCCCCCCTCTTGCTCACAGAACGTCTCCCCCTGGGGGGCTGGGGGAAAATACTACAATAAAGAGTCTGCAGCTTGGAAAGATGCTCATACCCACCGACAATCTCACTAGGCTCTTTGTTATAAAGCTTTTTGTTCGAGTACAGGAGTCTGAGGAGTGGAACGGAGACCAGGAGAACGAAGCAAATCCCAAGGAACATGTGTGCTGTGAAACCAGCGAAGTCCAGGCCCTGGAAGAGCAAAGGAGCAGCACATGATATGTTGGCCTTAGGGAGGGCTGAGGCAGGGTGTGAACTGGAAACAATGGGGTCTCTGGTGACCTTGGACAAGAGTCCTGCAGCCAAACGCTGATGCTTAGTAAGTCTGAAATTGTTGTTGGTTGTTTTGGTTTCATTTGGTTTGGTTTTTACCAGACAGGGTTTCTCTGTATAGTCTTGGCTGTCCTGGAACTCAATTTGTATATCAGGCTGGCCTCATACTTGCAGAGATCCACCTGCCTCTGCCTTCCCAGTGCTGGGATTAATGGCGTGCGCCGCCATCACCACCTGGCTGATTAAAGTCTTTTTATATGTTTTGTGTTTTTGAAAAACCAGTGCTTACATCAATTACAAGCCACCTTAGAAGGTGGCAGTCACAAAAATAGACAATCACAACTAGCTCCTAACTAGGTTTAGTCCATCTTCATTACAGGGCTAATGTGTTGCCCTAGGATGAATAGAGGTCAAAATTGAATAATGTGGCCATATATATTCACTTATTTAATGGTTAATTTTTTTAATATTTGACTGAAGTACCTGCTGTGGATTGGAAGAGGCATCCTCTGGTTGTAAGGTACAGTATTCCCACCTTTGGACACTATGGCATCTGCACAGAGCACTAGAACCAGTTACAAGAGCCCCAGGGAGGCAGCCTCTCCCTTCCTTCCTGCTTTCTCTGCCTGCCTGTGGGGCTCTGTGTCATGGTCATCTGTTGGATGTGCTTCATTTTGGTAAAAATCACCCTTAGGTTAATTTGTTAGAGGATAAGTCAACAACATTCTTGGTTAATTTTGCTCTATATTTTGTTCTTTTATGTGCATCTTTAAGCAAATATGCACGATATATTTTAGCCCCCAGTAGGACAGATGAGGCCCTGAAGATTATCATCTATGAAAATTCAAGTAGCTTCCATGACTAACTACTACCATGAAAGGGGAGGTCAAGGGTACCACAGTACTCTGGGGCACTGGGATCTCAGAGACTGGAAGGATCTTGGCAGGAAGGGTCCGATCACAGAGGACACAGAAGTCCAGCTCTGCCGGGAGACAAGCTCACACAGGTAAAGGTAGAAAGCCCCGTGGGCTGTTGGAAAGTCACCTGCCAACACCTCTCACTACCTAGCTCAGGCTGATTGCCCCAACCTCCCAAGTAATGGGGTCGCAGGTGTGTGTCACCAAACTTCACTCAGAGCTCACCACGCTCTGGCAGTTCTTCAGTGGGAACACTACCTTGAACGTGACCTTTAGAGTTATCTACAGAATTCATACCCCAGATGTCTGATTGAAAGATAGTTTTATCTTAGGTGTTCATGAAAATGTTTTCATTTCCTTTAAAACCAGAGAAGAAAATAAAATGAGCCCGGGGTGCTGAAAAGTTTGATCAGTGCTTAAGAGCACGGACTGTTCTTGCAGAAGACGCAGATTTTTTTCCCCAGCACCCACATGGTGGCTCACAACTGTCCAGTTACAGGTGACAGACTGCCCTCTTCTGTCCAGGGCATTGGAAACCCTCTTCTAACCTCTGTGGGCACCAAGCATGCACATGGTGCACAGACATACATGCAGGAAAAAACATCCATACACATAAAATAAAAAAACAAACACTAAAATGTTTAATAAGCCTAAGAAAATGACTTACATATAATAGCAGTTCATTTACCTTTAAACCAACCAGGTCATAAAACAAATGGTTAGTTTTAGCAAATACAGCCTGAGGAGACCGGAGTTCTATATCCTGAGTCACTCTGGATCTGTTCAGAATGTAAGCCCCAAAGTTTTCTCCCATTGGAAGTGGTGGGACAATTAAAGAAAGGAGGGATGAGTAGAAGAATGAAGAATGAAGAGAGAATAAGGCCAGAGACAAGCACAGCAAAGCAACAGCATTGAGTGGATGTTGCTAGAAGAGTTTCACAGGTAAACTCATCAAGCAACAGAAAGGCCAAATAGAAAAACCCAAACTGATAATTTTCAGAAACAGCAGGAGCAGAGGCAGCATGTGGTGGGATGCTGATGCTTTACCGGGCCTGTTAGACACGTGTGTCTGGAACTCCTTGCCACTATTACAGCCCTTTGTAATTTCCTAGACATTTCTCCTTGATGTTCTCAGCAAGAAAACCACCTCCCATCGCACTAATATCAACATGGCTCCTAAATGCAGCCCTTTCACCTTGCAGGGTGCCTTTCTTTCCTTTCCTCTCCTACTTCTAATCTTTTACTTATGATCAATGGTATGCACTGTAAATTGATGACAGCAGGCACCTTGGTTCCTAGCAGTTAAGTAAAGGATATTGCATAGAGTGCTCAGTTGAATTGTGAATTTCCTGAAAGCAACCCTACTGTGCTATTACTTACCATTTTTCTCAACTCCTGGTTGGAAACAATGATGACATTTGGTGGGTCCCCAATGGCAGTGGCAGCTCCTCCGATGTTTGTGAAGATCACTTCTGCAATCAGGACTTGTCTTGGATCGAGATTGAGCACCTCACATAACCTATCGTGAATGTAAGCAAGTGATAAGGCCTGTGTGCAACCCAGATGTTTAAAGCACTTGCTTGTACAAGGAAGGCACATTCATGCACACACACACATACATGCACACACAATCTGTGGGAAGAGTAACACAGGCAATGAACAACAGCAGCAACATCCTTGGGTACCACTAATTATAAGAATTCCTCTAAGTTAACACATCAGAGTCTGAGCTATCCAAGTGATGATGTGCTTTCTGCCTGCTCAGTCTGGAAGGAGTACTGTGCTCTGTGTGTAGGGCCCCAGTAGAGGGAAGGACCTGGAGCAGGTGAATGGGCACTGGCTATCAGATGCCTTGAATCTGATGTGGTGGGTCACCAAAAATCACCAGCAGTAACACTAAGCTTGCTGACTTAGTTCCTTATCTGTCTTCCCCTTTTCTGAAGAGACCCTTAACACATTCTCTCTCTCTCTCTCCTTTCTTTGAATTACTACCTTAATTACCTCTTCCTTGGCTGTGGACCTCTACCTGGGCTGTATGAGATTTGCCCTGGAATCTTTGCCCCACAACCCTGGTCAGCTGAAGACTAAGCCTTAGGAGGAGGTGGAAGATGAAAATGTAGGAATTCATGAGCAAAAACTCCTGATATCTGATGATCTACATGAATGGCTTGCCTGTGTCCCCCACGACAGTCTATCTCCTAGAAAGCAATGCTCATATCTTCCAACTTCTCATGGTATTTCTGAGCTATGCTGATACCTGTACCTGTCTAGAGTTCTGTAGTCACACGAGCCAGAACCAGCCGGGCTGGAAGTTAATGACCTGTACTCCAGTAAAAGGATGGATACTATCCCTTGCCTTTTTGTAGATGTGAGGAAGGAACCTTGAGCCAGGTGGTACAACCTGAACACAAATCTGCCCCAAACCTATCTTAATTTCCATGTTGGGAATGTTCTACACACCTTATGGTGACGGGGGTGAAAAGGAGCATTGTGGTGACATTGTCTAAGAAGGCAGAAAGGACGGCAGCAATGAGACAAAGCATGATGATCATGGCCCACACTCTTCCTCGAGAAAGTTGGTATGCCTAGGATGTACATACAGGAATGAAGAAGCCAAAATCAGTACATTCATACATTAGAAGCTGTGTTTTCACTAATGACTCTAAGATATTGGGACCAAAATAAATTCTCATTCAGAATTTGCAGTTTTGTTGAAGAAGTTATTTTTTAAAAGAAATTTTCAATACCAAAACTAAAGTAAAGGTCAGCACCAGCCTTTACAGTAGTAGAGTATGCCAAGGTCTCCTCGCCCACCAGGTCATGGCACGATCTCCCCTCACTATGCATGGAAGGGTCAGTCCAAATCTTCAGACCTGTTGAGTGTCCAGGGTTTCAGTTAAAATGCAAAGCCCAACCACAATGAGTTACCATTTCACGCCTGCTAGAATTTTTATTTTAAAAGATAAAAGATAACAGGGCTGGCGATATGTGTCAGTGGTAGATTGTTTGGTTAGCATGCGTGAGGTCCAAGGTTCAATCCCCGGCACCAAATAAACCAGGTGTGGTGGCTCAGGTCTGTCATGCCAGCAGTGGGGAGATGGAAGTAGGCCATCCTCAGCAACACAGTGAGTTGGAGGCCAGGCTGTGTTAAATGAAGCCCTGTTTAAAAACAGAGAGGAGGCAGGGGTGAAAGAGAAAAGGCATGGGAAAAGATTAAGGGAAAAGGAATCCTCCCAGACTGATGGAAAATCATTACGGAAAATAGTGCAGAGTTTCTAAACTACAAAGAGAACTGTGGGAAGCAAATGTGCATAGTAAAGAGACGGACACCTGCACCATGTTTATTAGAGAACTTCTCCGAGATGTGGGACCCACCTAAGTCTTTGTCAGCAGATGAAGACAACATGGTCATAAACACCAGGAAATACTATTCACCTATGCAATCTTCACATTTTCAACAACGGTTTAACATAATATAATAATGGCTGGAGGGCATTGTTTCAAGTATGCTAAGCCAGGCACACACATACAAATGCCATATGATTCCATTTCTATATGGAATCCAAGAAAATTGATCCCATAGAAGCAAAGAGTAAGGATAGAGGCTACAAGGTTGGGAGGGGGAGAATAGAGAGATTTCAGTTAACTACTACACAGGCAGGGTGACTACATTTAACGTAGTATATATTTCAAAATAACTTAAAAAGTGAATTTCGGCCAGGCGGTGGTGGCGCACGCCTTTAATCCCAGCACTCGGGAGGCAGAGGCAGGCGGATCTCTGTGAGTTCAAGGCCAGCCTGGTCTCCAAAGTGAGTTCCAGGAAAGGCGCAAAGCTACACAGAGAAACCCTGTCTTGAAAAACCAAAAAAAAAAAAAAAAAAAAAAGTGAATTTCAAGCCAGGTGTGGTGGCTCACACCTTTAATCCCAGCACTTTGAGACTGAGGCAGGCAGATCTCTGTGAGTTGAGGCCAGCCTGGTCTACATAGAGAGTTCCAGGACAGCCAGGGCTATGTAGAGAGACCCTGTCTCAAAAACAAAAACAAAAGGAAAAAGTAAATTTCAAATATGTCGCTATAAAATATGATATGTAAGGATAGGCTAGTTGGCTTGATTTAATCGTGACACATTGTGTGCATGTACATTGAAACATATTATACTCCCCAAACATACAATTACCATTTGTCAATCAAATAATAATAATTACAAGTTTAAAAAACTAAGACCTTTAAGGAGTTAGCATGTTAGCCCAGTGATGGAACATGTGCTGAGCATATTGTTCATTCCCCAGCATAAGTAAATAAATACAGTCTATATGAGATTAAAACGACATCAACAAAAAATGGCTTTCCCAAATTTAAAAACCAGGACTGTATATGTCTAGAAAGTGAGCATTGAAATTGTGTCCCCAAATGCAATCAGAAGCTGGTGGCCTGAAATATGCAGACTCTTAAGTGTAAAGTGCATTTTGATGTGTAGCCCTAACCAGCCATTTCAAACGCTGTTGCACAAATGTTCAGGGAGAGCACTATTTGCCTTGAGCTCCCTCTTCATTTAAATGTGGAGAAGCTGGACATGTTGGGCTGACTCATGCTTAGCACGGTAATTATACCCAGGCTTCTGGAGGCCATTCTGAAAGGAGGATGGAATTTTAAGTATTTTAATTTACTAAATGTATAATAGTAGAATAATAAATAGTATTATTCAGTTAGTGAATGTTATTATTGGTTACATTTGTACTTATATTGCTTTGATTATGTATAAATAAGTATTTTTATGGTTATTATTTATTTATTTAGTGTATGACCATCAAATTCCGCCTACCTTTACAGCACAGTAATCAAAAAATCCCGTTTCTGAAAATATGGCTACTAAGATCATCTATAAGAGAAAGAGAAAAAGTAGGTAGCAAGATTTGTTTTTGGTTTTTTAGCAGAGTAGGATATTGGAACAAGTCATAAAGACCCCATCATGAGTTCGAGCTCTCGTTCCTGACAGTTGCCTCAAGAGCAGCTCTGTCTCCTTAGATGTCTGTCACTTCGGTTATCCACCCGGCCAGAGCCGGGCGGCAGTGGCACATCCCTTTAATCCCAGCACTCAGGAGGCAGAGGCAGCAGATCTTTGTGAGTTCAGCCTGGTCTACAGAGCAAGTTAGCCACATGTCCATCACTTCAGTGATCCACATACAAACTCCCTGAGCAGAACCTCTCACACATGGCTTTGCACATATATTTCTACCCTGGGTGTTGTTCTAAGACACATTATCAACCCATCTAACCCCAACAACAAACACAAAGTGTTGTCTTTACTCGTTTTATAGACCAAAGAGACAGATGACTTAACCAGTCTTGAAGCTAGAAAAAGGGAAGGCCATGGGCCAGCAGGTGGGCTTTGGACCTAATTGCCCCCCATGAACAGCACTGAGACATTTAATAGCTTTAAATAAATAGCTTTTAAGCTGTATCAAATTTGGGGTTTTAACAAAATGAAACTGATTTTTTTTTCTCACAAATTTGATGACATGGACAAGCTGGACCATTGGTACTATTGAAATGACTGACCTCCAGTCCTATGCGCTCTTAGAATGCTTATCTGTGTTTCTACCTATGACAAGTGATGAAAACAGCCATCCCATGGACTGACAGAAATAATGTCCATTTAGTCTGTGTTTAATAAACCAGAAATTCCAGCAAGCCTGAACTTGCTAGAACGTTTCCTATTTTACAAGAAATGGAGTAACATTCCATTTCTTCAGTTTTTTTCTTTTCTTTTTTTTTAAGTTGTAGATATTTAATATGGCTCCCCCTTTTTTTTTTTATTTAGATGCTTAAACCCAGTCTTCTTCCCAGGGCCAACACAGAAGTTGGTTCCTCCATGAAGTTCAAGATCAGCGCCCAGCCCCGCCTCCCTCCCCTCCACATTACTACGTGTTGAATTTGGAACGAGGAAGTGCAGGTTCAAGCCCTCAGTAAAGTGTGCCTGATCTCCCGTCCTGCATTGCAAGTTTCTCACTTCACCTCTGGATGTTCTCTCCCTTGTGAGGCTGCTGTGAGAATTCGCTAAAACTATATGAAGTAGTTGGAAGACCGTGGACCCAATACACCTTTCAAATAAGCTGTATGAAACAAAACTGCTCCCAAATCAGTTTTGACTGAGCACTACCCTTGTCTAGAGCGGCTTCCTAACTCAGCAGGGCCCCATGGGGCTGTGTGAGGCAGGCAGTACCTCATGAGAACATAAGTAGACATATGTGGGGGACCCTGCGTGCCTTTCTCTTATCATGGGAACTGTTCTCTCATTGTCTGATAGAACAGAGACTGGGGTGAGCAACCCCAGGAAGTAGGCCAGGTAAAACAAGACCCGTTTTGTGCACCAGCCCTATAGTACCAAAAGCAGAGAATATCTAAGTGTCTGCTGGAGCAATTTTAATTGAGAAAAAGAAATATCAGGCCATTTTTTATAGGCTGGATTCGGTTCCTCCTCCTCAAAATTTGTATGTTGAACTACTAACTCCCTGTACCTCAAAATGTGGCTGCACTTGGGACAGGACTTTTAAGAGTTGCAGTGAGATTGTTAGGGTGGTCCCTAGTTGAATACGACAGCTGGCTTTCTAAGAGGCTGGGATTAGGACACAGGCACATGGAGAGAAGACAGCCAAGGAGACTCAGTAGAGGCCAGCCCCGCTGACAGTATGATCTCAGACTTCAGCCTCTTTAGCTGTGAGAAATCAATTTTCATTCATCAGGCTACCATATGTGTCATGCTTTGTTACTGCAGTTCTAGGAAATTACTACACCATTTGCTTAACTTTTGTAAAAATAGTATATTATAGACATCTGGTGTGACTCATTCCTATCCAGATGACCAAGCCCTAGTCATTTCTCAGCATCAACCCAGCTACTGGCTCTTCCCTGAAACTTGAGTTCAGAGCCCTTCTCCACCTTCCCATTCAGAGAGGATGGCAGCTCTGACTCCCTTTGAAGCCTAGAGTGGATGCCAGCAAAAAGATGAGGCTGCCTGGTGACTTCTACAAAGCGAGCCTCCTGGCATGGTGCAGATGAAGCCTCACAGAACCCGAATAGAGAATGACCCAAGAACACATACATGACCATTCCCACTTTTGTCCAGGGCCTCCTTCTAACTTAGCCAACTTACAACTCGTCCTACGCTAATCCTCTCTGAGTTTATCTTTCCTTCCTACAAGCTGACCTAGTCATGCTCCTCGAAGCTTAACAGCATGATAAACTGATGAGTACTAGGACTAATACTCAGGGAATTTTTCTTTATATAATCACTTTCCCAATTCCTGAAATTGTTCTGTGGTTCATGTATTTGAAGTATGTCCATTTTTTAATCTTAAGGGCATTAACTCAAAAAAATTGTTAACTTTTGTAAATAACGATGCCACTTCATTGTTCAACAAGCCTTAGTTAACGAGCCAGAGCCCCAGTCATTCCCTCCGCCTTGGAGGAATGAGCTAGACCTGCACTAATACTTCTCAATCAAGCCCTAACCCTCAAGAGATATGCCATCTTGACTATAATGATAGGATCAGCAACCATGGAGTAGTGAAGGACCCAGACTTGGAGCCATATCCTGCTGGGAGAACTGTAATTACCATGCCAAACAGCAGAGCCAGAGTCTCAAAATCAATCCACTCCACCACGTGGGTCAGGCTGGGTCTCTGTAATCAAAGCACAAATTTGCCAATTAATCCTGTGCATCAGGCCTACTGACGAAAGCTCAGAAAATGGGCTGCCCTTAGAACAAACCCACACTTTGGGCCAAAGTTGGAAACACTCCATCCACTTCCCTTTGAAATTGGATTATATCATTGCCAAATAACACTCATGACCCAGTGCATCTGTCACATCAAAAGTATTCATGAAAAAAAAAAGGGGGAGGAATGTAACCCTGCTCCTGGGAGCTCTAGGAAGATTATTGCCTGAATTACTGTTTGAATTGCAGGTTTGGCCTGCACATGTCTTCCTCGGTGGAGTGGTATGACTGACAGCTGTCTATTCTACTCTTAAGTGCCACTAGCACAAAGTGTAAAGTGAGGGACTGCCAGATCCCAGCCTGCTGGGAGAGGGCAACTCACTGAGTCACCCGGGGGTTCTCGATTCACGTGCCTGCTAGGTGACATAAGAGCAATTTTCCAAATGAAAGATTATTTGAACCATGCTTATGAGAACAAGAGCATGACTCAGAGATTTGGAGACAATCCCACTCCAGCCCAGACAGCACCCCAAACCCACAGACTGCATCCAGCTCAAACAGCCCCCTCTTTCCCATGCTAGCAGTTTCAATCTCCCGAAGTCAGTTTCCTGAAGTCAATACAACCAATACGAGTCGTGCATGTCCTAGTTTACCCATCCGCACAGCCTAGCAGAATTGGGCCTCAGCCCCCACAGCAGGATTAAAAGCCTAAGCCATGAGAAAAGATTGCTTCCTGATGAAAGCCCCGGTCAGGTTTATTCCGAAATAACCCTGTCCCTTCCATGGACATGCCTAACATGCATGATGCCCTGGATTCCATTCTAAGTACGACAAGAAACAAGTTTTCTTGTCTAAATTTTAGAATTTGGGACTATTTTACCTTTCAGTTTAACATCTATTTATGGCAAACCCAGCCAAGAAAAAGTTCACATTCTTACAACTGCTTTCCGACTAGTTCTACAAAGCCATTTTAAGTGAAGAAAACACCACGCAATAACTAATTCAATACACTTCCCTATGTAAATATTTAAATGAGTCATATGGGAGGGGGGTGGCGAATGACCAGTCAATAGTCTTTAGGGGAAAAAATCCACCAAATTCTAAATCTGCTTTCAAATCCATTTCTGTATGTGTGCGGCTTCGGGAGTGGGAGCATCAACCCTCCAACAATGCTCTCTTCCTTTCCTAAGAATACTCAGGCTCCTTCATTGCCCTTCATGTATTCCTCATGTCCCTGTCAAGTGGACACCATTATTTACATACAGGCATCTCTAGGGCCTGCAAGGCCACAAGGTCAGAACCCCAGCCCCATAAGTCCACCTCCATGTCTCCTGGGTGACCACTAGATCTACTTCTGAGACCTCTCTTGGAACCAAATGGAAACTAACACTACATAGCTGAGTGTGTGTTTATATCCAGTGACAACTTTTTTTTTTTTTTTTTTTTTTTTTTTTTTGGTTTTTTTCGAGACAGGGTTTCTCTGTGTAGCTTTGCGCCTTTCCTGGAATTCGCTTTGGAGACCAGGCTGGCCTCGAACTCACAGAGATCCTCCTGGCTCTGCCTCCCGAGTGCTGGGATTAAAGGCGTGCGCCACCACCGCCCGGCCAGTGACAACTTTTTAAACCAAGCTTTTCAGTTCATGCCTCTATGGATTAAGGGCAAAACACGTGGGAACATCATATAAAAGAATTTAAAAACAATTAATACACCCTGGAGTTTCCATGGGTCTGGCATTGTATCTAGTGGTAAACCAGTAAATCAAACATAGCAACTTACATCTCCAACCACAGCCAATGCTGTTAATGCTGCAAGAGCTCCCAACATGGCTGCCAGGGTCCTGTGAACAATCTGGAAAGAAACACACAAAACGCCTGTATTGGTGTGAGTGGCCCCTGTGCCATTGTATACCACATCATCCAAATGAAGAGCATCTCAAGAGGCTTGATTTCTCGGCAGCCCGTAGAGACCCATGGCCACCAGCAGCCTACATTCTAGGAAAGTAGCTTTCATTTCCAGAACAATCAAAAGTCTGCTCAAGGAAGTCTGCGGTAAAGCGCTGTTAATTATTTCCCATGTTCTCGTTGGGCAACTGAACCTTCAGTTTAAGAACATAAATTAGCCCTTTTCAGTTACTGAGACCACAGTTAAGTCAGCACACAGACAAATGCCTAATCCAGTTGAGATGCCAGCATATTTGCAAAAGGATCTTTTCTATTTAGTTATAATCCAGTGGACATGGAATTTCTAATGCCAAATATGTTGGAAAATATGCACCCATGTACACTGCCACCCAGTGCAAAATGGTAAAGGAACTGTGGAAGAGAGTCCGGCTGCATTTCATTAAACATAAGTTTACTTACCATATAATTTACAATGCTACTAGGAATCTACTGAACATACATGAAAACATGTATCACATAAAGGCATGAATGTTCTGAAAAACATTATTCAAAATAAGACAAATCTGGAGGTATCCATGGGTCTGTTTGTACGACTAGATTCCAAGTTCATTTTCAAATAATTTTATACTTGCTTTTCTTTAATATTTGGCGTTCAGATTTTTAAGAGTTAGTACATCTATTACTTTTTATTTATTATTATTATTATTATTATTATTATTATTACTTTGGTTTTGAATTTTTCCAAGACAGCGTTTCTCTGTGTAGCCCTGGCTGTCCTGGAACTCACTTTGTAGATCAGCCAGACCCAAACTCTAAGATCTGCCTGCCTCTGCGTCCTGAGTGCTCCACCACCCCCGGCAGTCTATTTGTTTTAAATAGAAGCACCTAAAATCTAGCACAATACTACCGAATTGTAATGATTGCTTTCATTTGTATTCTGTTTGCAGTTTCAACTGATGACACACATTAACTCTTCTTCCTTATTTGATGCGTAAACCCTAGGCAGTGAGCTGGGAAAAATTCCTCCTCGGCTTTCAAATTGGGAGAGCAAACCTAAAGTTGAACAGGTTGGGAAACAGAAGCAGCAGGCTCCTTTTTCTGCCTTACACAGTGTAAAGACAGTTCTAACTAATCTCATTTAACTGACAACATGACCACTCCACGGTATGGGTAAAGGGAAGAACTGTAGATGTGAGAGAAAGAACAGCCAGAGGCATCTGGAAGAGTCCAGAGCAGAGAGAGTAGATAGTAGATTGGACATGGCCAGCAGAATGGACCTGGCCATGAAGAAGCAGGAGCAGGGGCAGGGCACAGAGAGAGAAGGAGGGGGGTAGAGGGGGTAACATAGCTGAAATAGCAGGCTTTTAATGAGAATGAGTAGCTGGGGGGAGCAAAGCCGTGAACTGGGGGAGTCTAGGGTATGGGAGGAGGTGAAAAGAGCTAGGATTCTGAAAAGGACATGGACTCCGAAATCTGTAACAGGTATTTGTGATACTGAGGGAGACTGGAGGCCAGCATGTGCTTTGGTATGCTAATAGACATTTGTCCCTTCTGCCTTTTAGAATTAGTGGAAATGGAGCTTCCCTGGGACCTAACAAATCTGTGTTCCCACCCAGCCCATGCACACTCAGATTTGGCTCCAGAATAAACTATTTTTTATTCTCTTTAAAGTGAGTGCTACAGTATTTGTTCGCTTACTTGCTTGCTTGTTTTTGCACCCACCATTTTATGGTGCCATAACGTGGGGCGGTTCCAAGAATGACCCACTTTTTGCTGAAGCAATCATTTGGGTGAGTCCAAGCCAACAGGTTGTCATTTCCTCAAGAGGGTTGTTTGTAAGCTCTTGAGACACTGCGGGGGGGGGGGGGGGGGGGGGGGGGAGACACGACGGACACAACGGGATGACCTCCCTTGGTTTTACCAACTGGCCATTTGTTAATTCTGATCTGCTTAATTAGGGATCCTCATTTGGTAGCTTCCTTTTTGGGTCTGCTTCTGAAGGCTTTGAAGGATTTGAGTCTAGACATTAGGCTCACTTTCTTTGCTGTGGACTCTCCAGGCATTTGGCTTTTGTCTGTTTGGAGAACTCGGACAGCACTTCGGTTTCCGGCTTTGTCTTTGGTGTTGTATCAGGACCACTCACGAAGATCAGAGAAAGAGGAGAACCACTCTCGACAGCAGACCGGCCTTTAATCCGAACAGTGAAGGGCTGAGGTCTGTATGTGCGAGTGGAGACTGTGCTCCCGAGGTGCAGGAGCCTTGGAGGTTTACAGGGCAGAAAAGGGAGCTTTGGGGTGGAAGACTTCTGCAGATCTGTTCCCCTGCAGTGTCGAAGTGGTAAATCCCAATGGAGATTGGTCTGTTCTCATCAGGAGCCTGCAGCAGTTACCAGAGGGTCAGCTTTCCTGTCTGGAGTTTCTCTGCTCACTGGAGGCTTTTCGGTCATTAACCCTTCATTGGGGATTTTTGTCTTTGGAATATGTTGATTTATTACTATTTGGCTTTCGTTCCCTGACTCTCCTCGGATGCCCAGTTCCGTGGTTTTCTGCTGCTTCAGAGATCTTACCAAGGCTTTAGCTTAAGAATTTTATGAGAATCCGATGGTCTGGTCCAAAGGGTACCCCACTCCCCGACAAAAGGGCAGACCTACAGGACTCTTTTCCCATTGTTCTGGCTCCATTGACACATACCTGCGGCTGCATATCAAAGCCCATGCCATCCCCCAGGCCTCCAGCCTCCCTCAGTCCCTACTCACAAGTTCTTGTTATACATTTTTAAAGTCTACACTAAACTCCTCCTCAGGCTTCCCTCCTCCAACAGCAAGGTAACACAAGCAGTATTAGGTCCAGCCTATATTGCTTGCTCCCAGGGTCCGCGGAAGAGTCTACCAACCAGCTGAGGATTCTAATCTGAGGGATATTCAATAAATCTAAGCACACTGAGTCCTTTAGTCCATTCACTTTATTCTTCTATGGCGATTCTATCTACACAGTTTCTTTTCTGCTCTCTTACTTAGCTCCTCTCGGTCCCTCCTGCTCTCGGTCCCTCCTGCTCTCAGTCCCTTCTGCTGTTCTCTCATTATTCTACCTAGTTCTTTCCATCTCCGTCTTCATCTTTGTTCTTCTCCATCAATCCTCTCCTAGTGCTCTCAGAGAACCAGTCTATATAACCACACAGTAATTCTTTGGTAAAGCAATGTGAGGCTTGAAGTTTTCAGGGTCTCAGAGAGAGGCGATAAGGACCCACACATAAAGCAATTAATTGTCAGCTTCCAATTACAACCCAAAAGGGGAGTGACTAAAGGGGAGTTCTCTGTTAGGGTCAACTAAAGGCTAAGACCAATTAGGGAATTTATGTGCTCAAACTATAATCTAGAAATGGCTAGGTAAAATGTTAGGGGTCAGTAAGTCAGAAGAAAGTAAACTGTCTTTGGCGCCACTTTTCCCGCTCATCCCGGCTGCAGCTGCTTTCTGATAGGGAGGGGGACATATGCTATGTGGGTAAGCAACCTATGTCAGAGCGTATAGTATTCGGTTAGTAAAAGCACTTTCACTCAGAGTAATTGCTGAGGAGAAAATCTAGGAATAGCACCTGGCTGAGAAGGAATAAAAACTTAATTTGCACAAGAAAGAAGCTTGGTACCTATCACCTGCCTGGCCTTGTAGGCAATCTCCTTGGGTCAGTGGGAAGTAACTGCCTTAACTCAGCATCTAGCAAATGGCTAAAACTTCATCCCAGGAATGTGAGCAGTAAATCTCTTAAATTAGGGTCTTGTGTAAATAATCTGGGGTGAAGGTAAGGGGTTGAGGATTTAATTGTTAGTGGTTCTTTTCTCTATCTGTGAGTGAGATGAGCTAATGTTTATCTATGTGCAGTTTTGTCCTTGGAAAAATGTATCTTTGTTGAAATACTTTTGTCCGGAGAATGACTCTGACCAGATATATGTTAATGAAAGATAAACACAGCTGGGGCAGTTGTCCAATTACCCCCAAATGTATAGAGAAAGTTGTGCCCAAGATTGAGGTGCAATCGTGAGATTACATGTACACATAACATGGAGATGCACCATAAATGGGGAGAATCATAGCTGTTATTGCACAAGAAGTTTACAACAAGAGACAGCCAGCTCATTCAAAAGGCAGTAATCCCATAACACCTTGTGTGATAGTTTCCTCTAACAGAACCCTTAGTTCTGATAGGTTGACCTTCTGAATTCTAGTTGTCACTGCTGTATACTCCATGGACTTTCGCTACCAGCGGCTCTCAATAGCAAGGTTTTCCTCCTGCCTGGCTACTTGCTGCTTTGTTATTCTCATGATCTCTCTCTCTCTCTCTCTCTCTCTCTCTCTCTCTCTCTCTCTCTCTCTCTCTCTCTCTCTTTTTCTCTTGTTATTTGCTATTCTCCCTCCTCTTTGCAGATAGCCCTGATCATATCCAGTCTGCTTTTTCTTTTCTATCTATTCTGGATTCTCTCTCTCTTATTCATAGTAAAACCTTCCCCTAACTATACCATGGAGCAGTCATATTGGCAGTTTCTTTACATTGACTTCTTGAATACAATGATGATAGACTTCAAAGATAAGAGGCACTTGCTCCCCCTGACCCAAAAGGGGGCAGGGCTCATACACTCCACAATGTGCAAGGACCTTATAAGGAAACCCAGAAAACATACCCTGTTCTTGGGTGAGAAGGAACTCTATTGGCTCTCCTGAGAAGACATGCATGGGGGGATTGGTCACCTGCTGGGGATGCTGTGAATGTGTTGCTCTGATTGATTGATAAATAAAATGCTGATTGGCCAGTAGCCAGGCAGGAAGTATAGTGTAGGAAGGATAAGGAGAAAGGAGAATTCTGGGAGGTGGAAGGCTGAGGCGAGGAGATGCTGCCAGCTGCCACAAGGAGAATCATGATGTAAGGTACCAGTAAGCCACGAGTCACGTGGCAAGG